GCAAATGCAGAAATAAGATCATCCAAATAGAAGTACTACATTTCAGGATGTTCACTTAACCCCGACAGGGCACGTTCTGCCGTTGGGGAAATTTTGCAAAACACGACCCCTCGGAATTTTCTGAGCCCGTTCCCCATCCTCTCTACCAAATTAATACCACTTTTTTGAATTATTTCGAAATAAATTCCTCCACTTCTCCATCGGTTTTCTCTAATTTCCTACCGTGGAGCGGACGGAGGGAGGATGGGAGACTATAGCGCCTTGAAACTGGGAAAAACCGAGAAATGCCAACAACTAAACACATTTCCCTAAAGGCAATGTACGACGGGCCCTGGCTCTGGAAGCTCCTGCGCCCTTTGAGCACAGGCGAAATCTCCTCATTTCCTCTGCGAAAGTCAGCTTCGTGCACGTGCCTGCTCCCCTTCCATGGCTATGAGAGCCAGACTAGATGGTGATTAGTAACTTTTTAGGACGCGCCACACATTCTATCGCCACTCTTAATCGCAGTGACTTTTGAATGTGATTCGCATATTCAATGGTAGCCAGCATGTACAAATCATTGCTTTTATCCCACCGGATGTAGGTGGCACCAAATTGCCACCTTCGATGCTTTGAAGGGACAGAAGATTTGTTGGTCTGAGCCGGACTTGATCCCGGCTTTGGTCCCTGGAATGTTCGCTTGATTACACCCTAAAAGTAGCACCCTTGCAAGAACCCGTTTGCAAGTAATGTAGCGTATTCACTGATCAGAGAATCCAAAAGTAAGTTACTAGTTCTAGAGGCAATCAAAGGGTTTTTTTCGAATGATAGATACAACCAGTCATTGTCAGGAACCCTGTAACAATAGAGTTGTGCTTCATGGATCGCTCAAAGAATGTTGTAAAAAGTAGAGTGGTAATATAGTAAGAGGCATTGAGGCTCATACAGCGCTTTTTGTAGATGGACACAGTTTTGTTCGCTGCGGATACCGGAGCGCTTCAGAAGGGGGGGGGGGCTAGGTTTGACTTGTTGAAGCGGGGCAAGCGGGTATGTGGCAAGAGAATCGTAATGCGCCATGCTAGTGAGCGTCGCGTGCGACGTCGCGTCTGCTAATGACGGCTAAATTCGACAGTATTGGTCGATGATAG